TTGCCAAAAATAGAACATTTTATATTAAAACCAAATTAGCAAGCCCAGCCCAGATGAGATAAAGTAACGCAAAAGTAACGTAATGCATTATTTTCCATTAGGGCTGTGCAAAAAATCGGATGCGATTTTCATGCAAATCTCGTCAGTATCAGTGTCTCCAGCACGATTTTGTGTAGCTTGTCAGTGATCTACGGTTCTGTGTAGTAAATGCCACTCCATCTGAAAGCACGTGCTGGATATTTACTACTAATCACCAGAAGCACTTTAGGTACTAATATGTACACTTTAGGTACTTATATGTATCTTTAAGGTACCAATATAGACTCTTTAGGTACAAAGGTGTGCCTTTTGAAAAGGTTCCACCCTCAGTGACAGCTTTTGTACCTTTTTTTCTGAGAGTGTACATTTCCAAAGGCGTCACATTACAGAAGCTTCTGAAAGCGCTTCATGTTGACTTCAGCTGTCAAGCACACAGAGTATGGAGGACGTGCAAACGCATCTCAGGTGAAGTCTGCTTTCAGCTGCTTGGGCCGCGAGGCTCCAAGGCCCCGGTGCTTCCCACTCGGATGATAAATATGTTATTGAGACGGAGCCGAGCGAGCTCTCTGTGGCACACGGAGCGAGGGTGTGTTCGGCGGTCAACAATGCTACCGCAACCGCTTGGCCAGAGCTTCTGAAAACCTAATCTCTTATTCTTCTGTTTTATAAGCTTCTGAATATTTGTGGCCGGCGAGATCCGATTCTCTGGAGCACTACAGAGCTGCATGTGAATGGAGAACACTAGCAAATCCACACACACATAAACACGCACGCTTTCTGCAGTGTGTCATCCTCCAAAGCTTGAGAGAAACATGGAAACGTAGGCCATTTTATGAGCACGTTTAATGATATTAGAGACTAGCTTATGAGGGAATCTCAGGAAACCCGTCAAGAACATTTCTAGGTTTCTACATTTGCAAAAATCTAAATAAAATAAAAATAAAATTTGAATAAACAAGGAATTAAGCACCACTCCATCTCCAAATTCTCATTATCAAAATGATTTCATAATTTTTAATACTATTCTCAATTATGATTTTTAATAGTTTATTTTACTGTACATCATTTAAAAATAATTTAAATAAGCACAAACTAAATATTTAATTGAAATAAGCAAAAATTAAAAGTTCAATACAAGTACAATAAATCTAAACTTCTATCACGTATAAACACAAAAAAATATAAATATTAAATATTAAAAAGTATAAATATTAATTTAACATTAATAATTATATAAATATATATATATACTTGAAATAATATTTTAATAATATTATTAATATGTAATTTAATATATATTACATGTAAAATAATAATTCAAATGTATTTAATACATTTAAAAAGAACACTTATAGAATTTTACATAATGGTTAATTACATAATTAACCATTATACAATGGTTAATTGTATTACTTTTAGATAATTAATTTAAATAAGTACAAATAAAACATTTAATTGATACAAGCATAAAGTAAAGATCAATGCAAGAACAATAAACAATCTTCCATCATGAATAAATACTTAATAATATTAAGTTTATAAATAAGTAATGTTTTAATAATATTAATAATATATAATTTAATATATATGTTTTAAAAATAAGAAGAGTTTTTTTCACATTACAATAATGAGAATGTGATATATAATTTCATTATGGTAATGAATTTTGCATATCTATTTTATTTCATTTGCTTTTCTGTGGTGAAATATTATCAGAACATGTTCTTGATGTCACGAATCCAGTCCATGAACTTCCGTCTGCTTGCCACCAGAGGTCCCCCTTCCACTACTATGGACTCTTGCACCACACCACTGTTGCACTTCACCCGGACTACAGTTCCCATCATCCATTGCACTGATTACACACACACAGTTGATAGCACACAGCACTGATTGCACACAGCTGTCATCAATCACACCTTCCCTATATAACACTCACTCTGATCCCCTTCAAGCTGCCGAGTATTGTTTTTTTGTTGTTGTTTTTTTTAACTTTATTGAACAATGTGAACTTTACAACCATAAATGGCCTGGTACAAAATGCTAAATTTCTTATACAGACAAGCATCATAACATAAGGAGAAGAGGAAGAATGTATGTATATATATATATATATACACACATACACTAGGGGTTTTCAGGAAGTTTAAGATTTTCTATTAAATTACAGAAATTTAAGGCATTCTTTTTCTTCATTCATTTCAGCGACAAAACGTAATGACATAGGTCTTTGTGAAATATGTAGAAATTTGGAAGAATTTTCAGGAATCTGTTCTTATGCAAAAAGAACTTCCCAAGAATAATAATAGTGTTAATTGCTAAATCATGTGTTTCATCTTTCAAAAATAAACCGAATAATACATTTTCTTTTGTTAAAACATGTAAATTTTCAAATTTTGGAAATAACCAGTAATGCATATCTTCCCAAAAGGCACAGGCAAATTTACAATCATAAAAAAGATGTTCTGTAGTTTCAATTTGATCATCACAAAAGGAACAGTTGTTAACGTCAAGACCAAATCGACGTCTCAAAAATTCTCTAGAAGGATATACTCCATTAAGAATTTTAAAATGGACTTTCCTTCGCTTTTGGTGCAACTGGGAATTTTAAATATTTTGTTCTTAAAATTTTAACTTCATCCTTAGAGAAATATTGGAATATTTTTTTTTTTCTGAAGAAACGGGATATACAGTAGTTCATCAACAAAAACATTCCGGATTACAGTATTGGATAAATTTATGTTAGTAATAGAAACTCCATTCACCAAAAGCTGAGGAAGACAAGGTGTTACATTATTTTGAGATAAATTACAAGACATCTGAATTATAGATTGTGGGATAACTTTGATGATGTTATCATATTGTTTCCTGTCAAATAAATTACATTTGGAACTAAAAGTTTCAAAAGACATTACTCCGGTATTATCTAATATTTGCATGACAGACCATATTCCTTTCTCCCACCAGTTTTTGTAGAATAAGGATTTGTTCCTAAATACAACATATCTACAGTTCCATAAAGGGACATTATGGGGGACTAAAATTATGCTTATAGATCATTTTCCAATAAAGTAAAACCTGTTGATGAAGCTGCCGAGTATTGTATAGCGTATATCACTCACCTAGCGATAGCTACTCTACGGAGCCCGTTAGTTTTCATAGCCTTACCTTAGTCTTGCCTTGTCTGTTTTCTTGTATCCTGATCTTTGGCTGTGTACCTCGGATTCCCCCTCTCGTCTTGCCCTATTCAGATACTGTTTGCCCTTGCCTGGACCTTTGCATTGTACTTGGATTTACCCCTCTGGTCTCGCCCTGTTAATTCTGTTCGCCGATCGTAGACCCACGCTAGCCCTAGGAATAGTCTTGTGTCTCGCCCTCTATATACCCGTTGCCATTATCTGACCCTTGCCTGTCTCTAACCATGTCTATGAATAAAGCCTTGCATTTGGATCCGCACGTCTCAAGTCTCGTCAGCCCCATAACACTTGACAAGTTTAGCGAGCTTGCAAACTTGTTTTATTACATCGATTCAAACTAATATGTTATGTATAGTTAGAATTATAGTTATGTTTTATATATAGTGTGGGAAAACGGTCAAAATAACTGCCCTTGGTAAAAACAATTATCGCCTTAAGAAATTCATTAACATCTTTAGAGATTTAGAAAACGTTAGCATATTTAATTACCAATTAGACGCACCAAATAAATACTACTAAAAGCATTTAGATAACTCACTAACACACAAATTGAATTAAGACCATGATTATAGCTAATTTGTACATGCTGTATGCTCTGCATACTGAATTTAGTTTGTCTAATTAGTAGTACTCCAATAGTATGTTAATTATCGGGGGCTAGTCAATGTTCTGCATGTGAATGCGGAAATGCCGCTAGAAACCTGCTTAAGTTGAAATAGAGACAGAGACATCACAAACAAGACAACAGAGAGTGAGGCACAACAACATGTATGACCCACTCACACAGCGACAAAAACACAGACAGAGGGAGGACAGGTTGCATAGCCATGCTAAACTTAGCTGCTAAACTTTTAGCACTGCTTCGTCAAACTGTAGGCTAACATAAGCATTTTCAGAAATATGCATTCCCAAAACCCGTTAAATTTGTTTGATTAATCTGCACGTCTGTCAGCAGGGCAAAGAAATTAGCTTACTAAATGAGCTATGAACGCTAACCTTGTGGCTAGAGACATCGCTAATGGAAGCTAAAAGGGTTGACTGTTTGGGTAAGGCCCAACATGCTACACAATAATCTTTCTTGTCTGCAATGAAGGCATTTGTGTTCCTGTACCACAGCCAACGGCGTTACAGAGGGCTGTGATACCCCCTCGGCGAGTCTGGGTCGTGCATTAACACGGCGCAAAACAAAGCACTCAAGTCTAGCATAAGTGAGAGCAGATGTAGCTGCTCACCGCCAAATTACTTTGCTCGAATCTGAAACTTTATTTTGAAAATATGATGGATCCTGAAAAAGGGAACTTGGGTAAGCAAGTTCAGGTCAAGGGCTGCCAGCCGAGTATCTACTGCCCATACTGATTTACGTCAACAGCTCCGAAACAAATGCAACCCAATAGATTTATCTTTTCTCTGTTGCTGACAAATCACTGACCCACAACGGTGGCCTTGGGGCGACTAGAGCGCTAGACTTAATGAGATATATAATTAAACTGTTTTACTGGGTCTTTCAATAAAGTTTCATTAGCTTAAACCAGACATTAATCATATGCTTGCCACAAAATCTGGACTAAGCTCCTCTGACACAGTTCATTAAAAGACATTAGCTTTCCATTTCAGCTTCCCTAGCAACTTATAGCGCTAACTCTGTGGGTGGTTGTTTTGGAAGAGCACAGGGTACCTATAATCAGAAAGAGGACTGATACAGAAGCAGTGAAATAAGCAGAAGAATATTAGCAGAAAAGCTTAAGGAGCATCCGTTCGTCTTACCTGATCTGAGCTGTTTGATTCGGCCATTACTTGTGCTGGGGTCGATGGGGAGGAAGTCTTTGAACCAGGTGATTTCCGGGTCGGGGTTACCGCTCGCGGCGCAAAGCATGGTAGCCGTGCGCGTGCGCTCCACCACCTTTAGCTGTGGGCCCATGTCGATGTTGGGGAAGCCAGCAGGAAGTAGGTCCTCTGTAGGGAAAACAAAGAAGGTTAGAGACAAGCGGTGGACCATTAGATGCCAATAACCTACTCGAAAGTTCCTACAAAGCAAGTTTCTGAGAGAACCAACTTGGCCTGGTATGAGCAAGTAGCAAAGTCGGGTTTGGCTAGGACTTGTTTCCCTTCAGGGACCCTCAAGGGGACTTGCTGAGGGACAATCAAACACTCTCATAGCAAAGAGCACACTGAGCTGTTGCTCATACCGTCATGCATATCATTCAAGTCCTACGGATCCGAGTCTACATCACTAGCGACAGAGCAGTTTAATCGGGGCAAGCACTGGTGACATTTCACCCCCCGGTTCCTCCATAGTTGTTTACGGCACTGAGTTGATACGAAGAGACAGGTGACACACAAACACACAATAGATTTTGACAATTCAGCCCTCTCGCTCTTCAAATGAATCCAGTGTGGCTGATTCCTGCTGTTGTAGGCCAACACAAGCCTTAACGCTCTTCATTGGATCTGCTGTAAAGACAATGACGGATAAGGCAGAGGGAAAACCTCTCATTTCTTTGACCTGGTATGACTCACATTCTGGCAAAGAAAATCAGACATTGTAGACCATGCCAATGGGCACAGGTCAGGCTCTAAGAGTGAAGATCACATCCTTCGAACCCTTTGAGAGTCACAAAGGTGTGCCAAGGCTCATGACATTACAAGAAACCCATGCAGTGCACCTAGTGCCGGCAACTGTTGTTTTTACACGGGCCTTGACACCAAAAGAAAGGATTTGAGCCAATGTTTTTTGCAATGACCTTTCATTTCCATGTTCAATTATTCAGTGTTTGCTGGAGATGTATTATGTCTGCCTATCGATTATTAACCAGCAAAGATGGGATATTTAAACTTTTCTTTGTTCAAAAGCAGAATTTTGGAAAGCAACATTTTGTGTTTGCTGTAAATGTGATCCATGGCTGGATTATCCATGCTGTGACACCAGAATAGGATTTCTGCAAAGCACACAAATTAAGCCTTAAACACAAGATGAGTAATTTGATTTGAGCTTAATTAAAGGAGGCAAGTACTGGGGAGTTTGGACTGGTGGTGGGCGAGTGAGAGCAGCGAACAGTGTCACTGATAGAAATGTCAAAGCAATTCAAATTCTATTATAGAGTCTGTGAAAGAGGTAGTGCTAGCACTGCTTATATATAGTGGTAATGACTGCGGGCATACGAATGCAAACGGAAAGCGTATCTATATTGTCACCGGGATGCAATAAGTGACCTGGAATCATCCACTAGGAGAGGCTCACCGTGAGCACTCCAAAGTAGAGATGTCCTCTTCGGCTAATAGAAATAGAGAAGGGCTAGAAATAGAATTTGCCTTGCAGATGTACTTTTCCAACACTCAAATTGGTTCAGGGTCAGTTGCTCTGGTAAAATATGAAGGAAATCAGGCAGTAGCGCATGCATTTCCGCACCAAGAGCCCTTAGCCCTGTCCTGCCTGGTTTGCATTCATGGTAAAAAAAAGCCCTGGAGTTTTAATTCCAGCATTCCCCACCAATCTGATCACAAGATTAGGTGGATATTCTCTCCACAACAGCTTTTTGATATCGTCACAACCAGTTGACTTACATTAGGCTTGAGTTTCTATCTACCTCTCTAGCACTAGCCTTGTGACATCCCATAACCCCAAACAACTTAATTCAATTCAATTTAATTCAGAGGCTTTCAAATAGTGGCCCATTAGACAAAAACACAGCTTTCCCTTATCTTTGTGCATTTCAGGTGCTACATAATGGCATATGTCTTTTTTTGTTCTGCACTTTGCAGAGGGATCATTCTACCTCATAATTTCTTAAAATAAGAACTAGAATGAAATTACAGGCCTCGTACTGGGTTTATAACTAGGCGGCTCTGAAGGCCGCCCCTGGCCTGACTAAGAGGCTGTTAAGCCGCGATGATAATGATGCTGTTATGATAATCAGCATAGCAGGATGAGTGCACCGGCCACTTTAGCCAACAGCTGCACATTCATCGATTCAGAAGGGCACTGAAGTCGTCCTGAACCCCCCTCCCCTTACCCCCAAACCTTCAATCCGTTAGCTTTGACAGGGGCTTTTTCGCTTTTGTTATTATCTGTAATTGCATTTAATTGTAGCTTGTGATTTAATGGCATTACGCAAGTGACAGGTGCAAAGCCTCTTAACCTGAGCGGTCAGTTTAGCGCAAGTGGATTTGCAGACGTGCATCCATGGTAATAAGAATATGAGTTTTGATTGACTTGTGATGATCTCTGAAGCTCATTATCCATGCAGATTAAAAGTAAAATGGCTATTGCTGCCTGTGCACCAAAATAAATATGCAATATATACACAACTACCACCTTCTGGTGATTTTTCTTTTAGAATATATCCATAGTGACAAATAAAAGACAATTTCCATGTACAATATGAAATATAACCAAATACTAAGACTGGGTTTGTATGATACCTAGCATTTGCCACTGGGTGTCCATAAGCAAATTAGTTCTAGTTGATTAATGATGATCTCTGAAGCTCATTATCCGTGCAGGTGTAATATTTCATAACACAGATTAAAAGTAAAATGGCTATTGCAGCTTGTACATCAAAATAAATAGGTAATATATACACAACTGTCGCCTTCTGCTGGGACTATGGCATTCTTGTTAACAGCTTTATCAACCAGAGACACATTTCATAATTACACAAAGCATTTTTTGATAAGCGTGCATTTTTAAAAACTGCTCTCCAGCAAACACTTTTCTGCTGATAAACGTCTCAGGGGTGGCATCAAATTCCACAGACGTATCCTCCCAAGCATTGGCTCTTTTTTTATTTTCACTTACAGAAATGATTTAATTTCATCAGTTCCTTAATCGTGTTAACTGATTAGCTCTCGCCACAGCCAGAGATGGCTTTAGAAACACATGAATATTTCCGAGAACTCTGGGAGGGTTGGGGAACAGTGGGCGGAAGAGCCAAAGAGAGAAAAATGGGATACAAACCACACGATGGGAAGAGGAAGACATGTTTTTCAAAAGCAGAACTAAGACGACATTTAACTAATCTGTAGCCCCAGCTGTGTGGATTTGAGAGGTGGTCAATTTAATTTCCTGTGCTCCAAAAACAGCTCAATTTGCATAACAGGAAGTGCACGGAGGAGCGGACGAGAGTTTGTGTGCTTGCTTGATTAATCCTAGAAGAGTCACCGGTCATGATGCTTTGGGTTCGGCTGGCCTATCACGTCAAACACTGCGCCGTCAGCATGGGCTGCTGCACAGGAGACAGGGTGTGTGCAGGGAAACGAATGCAGTGTACAGGGAAACGAGTGCAAGTGCAGGGAAACGAATAATGGACTGGGTGTGGAGAGAGAGCGAGGGCTGCAGGGTGGAGGCGGAACCACATAATGCTCCATTAAGGAGCGTGAATCCCATTTCTGCGTCTTCAGATACACTATCGCAGCCCAGCTTCTGCACTTTGTGTTTACAGGAGGGTCACCCGCAGGCGTCCCCCGTCGGGCTTTGATGAAGCTACCGTCGCATGGCTCGGCCGGACGCTGTACAATTAGGCGGCGGTGTGCAGCAGAGCATCTGACTGATGACCGAGTCCAGCTGCTTCTGTCAAGCTGACTTATCAGTACCTGAGGAGGTGGAGCGGGACGTGCCGGATCAGATCGTGAGGGAGACGAGAGACGAGTGAGACTGACAGAGACGGATGCACTCAGCGACACTGACAACCTGGGCTGCGTTTCCCGATAACGATTAATCTTAGCGCTTAAGAGCGTTTTCTACGAGTCATTTTCCGATTGTTCGTTATTGTTTCACGTGCGTTTCCCAAGTGCTACTTAGGAGTCGCTATCCGTTTGTCAAGTGCTGAAATGTTACCTTATAGAATAGCTCGTAATTGTAGTAAACGCTCGTTTATTGAAATTTTAACCTAATGCTGCGTTCCAAACTTGGATATAATAACTATAATATTATATGATATTATGTACTTTACATAATAATATATCATGTACTTATATATATATACTGTACATATATGTTGTAGAGTGACAAGGAAGTGTCAGTGTACCTGAGGAGGTGGAGCGGGACGTGCCGGATCAGATCGTGAGGGAGACGAGAGACGAGTGAGACTGACAGAGACGGATGCACTCAGCGACACTGACAACCTGGGCTGCGTTTCCCGATAACGATTAATCTTAGCGCTTAAGAGCGTTTTCTACGAGTCATTTTCCGATTGTTCGTTATTGTTTCACGTGCGTTTCCCAAGTGCTACTTAGGAGTCGCTATCCGTTTGTCAAGTGCTGAAATGTTACCTTATAGAATAGCTCGTAATTGTAGTAAACGCTCGTTTATTGAAATTTTAACCTAATGCTGCGTTCCAAACTTGGATATAATAACTATAATATTATATGATATTATGTACTTTACATAATAATATATCATGTGCTTATATATATATACTGTACATATATGTTGTAGAGTGACAATGAAGTGTCAGTTGTAGTGATGACCTGTAGAGGGCAGGCTAAAGCTGTATTGGTATTTGCTTAAAAAGCAGCAGAGAAGAACTTGGTGTGTGTGTAAATTGACTCCACCTGTGATGTGATTGAGTGTACTGCTGGTTGATGCATTCCGTTGAGTAAATGCACTCTTGAAAAGATTGCATGCCTCCTCAAGTTATTACATTTTGGCGACGAGGACAAGCAAAGGGGAATACTTTGAAGACGAAAGGAGTTTTTTGGAAGGTGAAAAGGTGAAGAAGAAGAAAACTGGATCTCTATGAGTTGGAGCTTTGGAAAAGATGGCCAATCTGGTAGGAACAGTCACACCATTTGTTAGTCAGTCCCAGTCTTGGGAAGAATACATCAGTGTTACCCAGGAGTGTCTAGGATGAAAGCTTTGGCCAGAAGTTATGTGTGGTGGCCCAAGTTAGATCAGGATGTGGAAAGGCTGGTTAAAACCTGTTGTACGTGCCAAGAGCATAGGAATGTTCCAGCTG